TTGACAACGCGACCAAGTTGCGAAAACGAGGTCAGATTACCTCTTATCCACTTATGTTTATTCGTTAGCAGAAGATAATAAGAGAATTGAGGCAGCTGCACGATTACCGAAATGCAGCTGTTAGGGGAGATTTTTAGATTTCGCTTGTGGGCTACAAGATTGAAGATGTGCAAAATGAGATACAAATTCTTACCCACTTGGAATCATAATACTGGATTCGGTCAACAACTCGAGACAACTAGGGTGCTACAATAAAATTGTGAAAATGTTGGATTCTCCTGCAATATTCTCGTAGTTGGTCATATAATGCAGGAAAGAAATGCCACTTTTTAACGGTTTCCCTTTTAGCAAAACTCTATTAATTTTGCAAAAGCATCTGATGAATGCTTAAGAAGTATCTCCATTTTACTAAATCTTGTTGCAGACTACCTGGAGGCCATTTTTTCCAAGACGAGGAGGACTACGACTGTCCCGAGACAGAATTCGTCTACAGCCTGCCCTCGCGACAGAATCGACTATCCTCGATCGCCCTACAAGACCTCGAAGCAATCACTCCCGAGGCAACGTCGACAGAAGCAGAAGCCAATGAAATGGGTTTTGATTCTCGCGACGGTGACAGAGTACCGACGAGCCTGCTGAAGCGACGCAGATCGGGTGAGCCGAGTCGGTAAGCTTACCCTCGACTGGCGTTTAGTAAATCGCATGCACATGATTATTACTTACTGTCTCCAGGATCCTCTGCTTATGTAAGTTTTGGTAGACCAGCCCCCATAAGCAGGCCTTACAGCCTAATTCACATCAGCCTTTTAGCAGCCAATAAGCCAGATAACTGTATTCTATTTCGTTTTTGTGTAAGATTTTGAGACTACCTGTAAATCATATATATATATATATGATTTGTGTCCGACCTATTTCATTTAAAATGATAAAGAACTGTTAGTTGAATTTTCCCACAATCATATGATTAAAGCTAGTATTTCCATTGAATCCAGGGTGAACTTGGACCATGACAGTGCAGTGCTTAAAATCAGCATATTAATCTTCATTATCTTAAACGAAATAGAGTGAATGCAACTCACATCTGATTTACTAGTAGTCTAGAGAACATACTCAAAAAATGAAATATAAATATGGCCTTTCTTTCATTTCGTTGGACGAAGCGGATAGAACGGATTCTTAGATTTGCCTCACCGGATACCGAAGGAGGGTTTCCTTGAACTTTTGTCTGCTGAATTATGGGAAGAAGACCTCGGCTCACCGTCCTACGACTCTATGCTGAACTTTCGTCTGTCATGTGACTGGCATCATCAAATCCAGAAACCATTATTAATGATACGAAGAGAAACTGGGTTTCGATGAATCTCCTGAGATAACA